GTAGTATTTATATCCTTTTTTTTTGTTGGCTTAGTTTGGTTCATCGGTTTTAGTTTTAAAACCGAAACCGAACCGACAAGATTTTATGGTTTTAAAAATCAGCTTAATTGATTTTTCATCTTGGTTTGGTTTTCTAGGTTAATGTTTTTTATTTTTTTTTGGTTTTATCAGTTGTTTGGTTTTTTTGAACACCCCTAACATTTGTTAAAAAATTAATATTCAAAATTGAGGTTGTATTTAAAATATGTTATTTTCAAATATTTTTCAAACTTGATTCATATTTCCAAATCTAGAAATATGTCATTTTTCAAAAAAAAAAAAACTTAAACCTTATCTCTTTTCCCTCACCTCACCTAAGAATCATTGTAAATAAAATGACAACAAATAAGTGTTTAGAAGTGCGGTACTTTTTTTTTTTTTAGGTGTTTTAAAAGTGTGTTTTATTTGAAAAAAACATTAAATTAATATTTTTTTAGTATTTTTTAATGATTTTGATACTTAGATGTAAAAAAAACACTTTAATGTATTTGTAAGAAAAAAACACGTTTGAAAAGAACCATACACCACAATACCAAACACACAAGAATTCTTCTAAACAATATTGTAGATGACAAGCTTTTTGCATAAATTTCCTTTTCCTTTTCTTTTCTTCCTTGATGGTTATATAAATAAATTTTTAAAATATTACAAGGAAGTGTATATATACAAATTTGAATATGGTAGGCATCATTACAAATGTTCAAACATATGTATTATGTCCGCAAAAATCTTTGAGTTGTTATTACATAAATACATGTAGGGGTGAGGTTCTTAGTTCGATTTGATTTTTCATTAAAAAAATAACCAGATTAAATTTTATTATGTATTCAAAATAGGACCTAATAAAAACTAGTTCAAACTACCAATTTTAATTTGATTTGATTTAGTTTTTAAAATGAAAAACCGACAAAACTTATAGTTGTTTTTAGGGGGGTTTTTAGTGTTTTCATGACCAAATAGAGATGCTAAATTTATGTGGGCTTTTTGGTTGTTTAAATTTGATCTTAATGGGCTTTTATAGACAAATTCATATTTTTATCAAGAAGTTGTAGAAATTCCAAGCATCAATCTCCAACCTGTAGCGTTCATTAAGGACATTCTAAACACTATGTAATATAAGAGAAATACTCCACAAGATCGGCCAGTAAACTGAGAAAGGGTATCCAACAACCCTTTTATTTCAAGTGGTATAGTCTTAAATATATAAACTGAAACTAGAATAACTTTCCAAACCAATGCCAAATCAAATCCAAAAGTCTTGCCAAAAGGAGAACATAAATCATGGAAGACCATAGCATTACAAGATCACTAACAAAATAAAGTATATATGAGATTAACAACAATATTGGATGATGGCCTAGCCAACCAGATATGCTTAATATACCAATTAAGCATAATTTTAAAGCATAAGATAGTTTTCTAGCCTCTAAAGTCTAATTTAGTGTGCTATTTTGATGAGATTTTTGGTACAAGTAATTCATGCTCATCTTACTAAGTAATTTTCCATCTTCTTCCTTTAAAGATTTTTAGCAAGTTTTTGTATTTGTTGGTTAGTGCTATTAGATCTATTAAAAGGCATTTGTTCTATTATAGTGGCATTCTTGTGTTCGTGTAATCAGTCTATATGTGTAGTAGAGATTCTCTAGCAATTTTAAGAATGCTTATTCAAAGGCTGTAAAGAGTTTACGAATTTGGTTTGATTCATACAAACTGATGGAGGATTCTGGTGGAAATGGCATGTTGATTTAAGAGGGTTCTTGATGATATTGTTTCCTATAGATTGGTTGTTCTGGTTTCTCTATTTTAAGTGTGGTGGGGAACTTATTCCTTTGATTGTTAAGGTGTTAAAGGCTGATATCTTGAGAGGCCATGGCTGGTTCCAATAGGTAATATCAAATTTTATTTCGGTTAAGAAGAGAAAAGATAGAAAGAATTTTTTTTAATTTAAATTTGGAACAAGGTGGAAGTTTGATTAGCAATTCAGTTTGGTGTGACATCAAATTTACAACTTTTGGTTGCTATTTTGTTATTTTGATTTTGTTGATCATTTTATTTGATAAATTTGCTAAACTCGAGCTGTAAGCAAACTTTTCCATGTCTTCCTTGTCAAATCTTGCCATCTTTTAATGCAATATTCTACTTCTAAAAAAAACATATTAGAAGCAACAACTTTTCAAATATGGTTTAAACGATCTAAATGCTTTTGTAATTTTAAAATTTCATCAATTATTAGTAACGAAACTATTGCACTGTGAGGAGAATGTTGGGAAAGATGCAAAGCTTCCCTTATACTTATAAAAGCCTCCACTCCTAAAAAAGAAAGAAAAGAAATGAAAAAAGCCAACAACTTTAAAATATTAAAATCCATAAAAGCATATGAATATGTAGAAAATAGACATTTGATAGAGTTATAAATTTTGTTACCTTTATGGTTTCTAGGTTCATATGAAAGAGACTGTATAGCTAAAAAAGAAAAAAAAAAGACAAAGAGATGCAATTGCTTGAAAACCATAGTTAGCTAGACAATAATTCCAGCACAAACATGTCAAGCAAAGAGAACCTATGTTTTTGTTGGATTTTAGGTGGAGATCATAATAAAATCAAAGAACTAGAGAGTATGGAGAGAGAAGGGCATATGTAAATGTGATTTAGGAGAGAAGGAGATAGTTGACGATTTATGAGGGTTAATTTTAGGATTTTTCTTTTATACTTGCTAGATTTTTATAATAAGGTTAAATATTGGTTTATTGGGTTTAGTTTGTTCTAGTTTAATAGACTTTAATTTTTTAAAATTGAAATTGAATTAAACTAATTTTTTTAGTTTTGGACCATTCAATTGTTTTAGGTTAATTTTTTTTCATTTTAACTTGATTATAAATCAACTATTTCTAATTAGATCGATATCAATGTACTTAATACCTATGTAGTGGAACTTTACTTTTAACAGCTGCTAGAAGGTCGAGTGCATACTTAACTTTAATGAATTATATATGGTTAAGATAATTTTATGGAAAATAAATTAAAAAAAACAAACTAATTTTTTATAAAAAAATAATGTTGAATAATAAAATTAAAAAAAAATAAGTCAAAAAAATGTTAGTTTATAATAATTTTTCAAACTCGTTACTTAAGTCATCAGACTAAAAGTAACTTACATAAAAAAACTATAAAAACTAATCACTAAAAAATCAAACATTGAATGATAAAATTAAAAAAAAATAATTATACAAAATAATCTAAAATAAAAAATTTAATTAAAAGAATAAGGATTAAAACCGAAATAAAAAAAATTAGATGACAACTAAAAATTTTCAATTGAGAGTTAAATTAAAAAAAAAAACTTCAACAACAGATAAAAAAAACTAGAAAAATAAAGACCAAATTAAAAAAAAATAGTATACAATAAATTTGAATTGAATGATGAAATTAAAAACTACTATATCATTTATGAAAAGATCAAGAAAAAAAATCAAAATAATAAGGACCAAAATGAGAAAAAAAATAATACATGACAAATTGGGATTGAATGATGAAATTTAAAAAAAATATTTTTTTTATAAAAGAGTTATTAAAAAATTAAAAATTAAAAGAATAAAAATTGAAATTGAAATATTAAAAATAAAAAGGATCAACCTATAATTTTTAAAGAAGGAGAAAAAAATGCACTAGCAATCAACCGCTTCAATCAACCGCTTCATCACATTGCACTAACAAGAAAAGAACATAATAACTCTTTTAAAGACAAGACATAAGAGAATATTTTTTTAATTAAAGCTCTGTTTGTTTGCTAAAAATTAGTTTTAATTTGGAAAATGAATTCCAGAAAAGTAAATTATTTTCTGATGTTTGGTAATGAAATGAAAAATAAGTTGCAAAATACTTTTTAGTGTTTAGTTATCTCATGAAAAATGAGCTAAAAATAACTTATTAATATTTTATTTTTCTCAAGTTTATTAAAATAATAAGAAACAAATTTTACAAATTAAAAAGTTGAATGATAATAAAATTGAAAAAAAATATAATTTCATAAATTATCTCAAATAAAATAAATAATAATCAAAATAATAGAGATCAAATCTAAAAAATAAAAAAATAAAAGATGAAAAAATTAAAATAATAATAATCAACATTTTATAAATTATTTCAAATAAAAATAAGTAACAATCAAAAGAATACTTCAAATTTGATAAATAAAACATTTCAATAAAAAATAATAAGAAAAAAGCACATAAAAATTATAAAAATAAGAACCAAAGTTAATATAAAAATTAAATTTTAAGAAATAAAATTGAAAAATAAATATTTAAAACAAAATATATATAGCAATCAAAAGTTTGAGGACTAAATTTGATATAATCAGCAAATAATATGATATTTTTAAATTTTTCATAACTTTCAAAAAGTGTTTTCCGCCAAAAAATTTTAGAAAAATACTTTTATAAAAACCAAGTTAATTTTTTTTTACCGGAAAGTATTTTATGTTACTAACTTTTTTAATAGCAAATAAATATAAAAAAATCTAGAAAGTGATTTTCTAAAACTTATTTTTTGAAAAACAAATAATATCTAAATGAAAGGCAAGAATATCTTTCACGGTATAACAACTTTTCTATTTTAATATTAATTTATTAATCTCAAGAAAAAAACTAAACTACACTTAATAAATTAGATATTAATTTAGTTTTTTTTATTTCAATGATAAATATATTATTTTATTATTTTATTTTATTTTATTTTAAAATGAAAAGACAAAAGATTCTTATTTATTTGAAAAGTAATTTACTATTATAAAATAAATTGGAAAAACATTTATATTTCAAGTTAATGTTTTAATAACTAATAATCCGTATAAAAAGATACAAATACGGTTACCATCAACAACATTTTTACTTTAAGGATAAAAATATTATTATAATAATGAATAGTGAATTATGTATACGGTGTTTTTTATTTTTTGGCATCTAATTGCCTTAAATTCCGAAAAAGGACTTTCGCAACTTAGCACTCTCTCTCTCACGCACAGACAGAACACCCTAATGGCTGATATTGAAGAAGTCCTAGGGGACCTGAACAAGGATTCCTTTGTCTCACTCTTGAGAAACCTCATTGGAGAGTCCAAATATGTCCAAAACAACCCCCCAGAGCTGATCCCTGAAGAAGACAGGGTTGTCAAGCATGTGTTGAATTCTCTTCTTCCTTACAGCACCACCACTGGAGGAGGTCCACTGATTGTGAATCATGTCTCTTATTTCCCTCAAAGAGGCAATCTTATTGTGGAGTACCCTGGTAACGAACAAGGAAAGATCCTGTCTTTTGTTGGCATGCACATGGATGTTGTCACTGCCAATCCTAATGACTGGGTTTGTTCCTTTCTTTCTTTCATCTTTTGTTGTTCTTTGGGGAAGTGGGTTTCATTTCTTTCTTTCATCTTTTGTTGTTCTTTGGGGAAGTGGGGTTTGATTGATTTTGATTGTTTATGGGAGTTTCACTTTTTCCTTATGAAGCTATTACTGGTTTTTATCTTTATGTGACGAAGTTTTCGTCAAGGTTTCAATCGCACTCAGGCTTGAGATTTTCAGTTTAAATTTTACTCCTTTTGAGATAATTAATTACAATTGAACTGGGTTTCTGTTGTATTGAGTTTGTTGTTCGGAAAGTTAGTGGTTGAAATGTTCCTCGGGATTTGATTTATTTTGGGTTGAATAAGTAATTATCGTCATCAAAGGTAATTTCGAGTTTCTACGAATTGAAAAATTATGGCTCATTATGCCGATTGCTATTAAGGTGTTGGATGCATCAAAAGTTATTAATTGAACTTTCTATGTCAGGAAAATATCTACGAGTAAAGATTCGATGTTTTTGTTCAGTCATGTGTAACAGTGAATTTGATATGATAGTGATTGTTATTCATGCTATGATGACCAAATTTGCAGGAGTTTGATCCATTTTCATTGAGCATCGATGGAGAAAAACTTCGTGGCCGTGGAACCACTGATTGTTTGGGACATGTTGCCCTTGTGACTGAACTGATGAAGAAGTTGGGGGAGACGAAGCTGAAATTGAAGTCAACAGTAGTTGCAGTCTTTATAGCCAATGAGGAGAATTCTTCCATAACAGGGGTCGGTGTGGATGCACTTGTGAAAGATGGTCTGCTCAATAAGCTGAAGGGAGGTCCTCTGTAAGCAAGCCACAATTTCTTTAGGAAAAGAAAAGGACTTGTTATATATAAAGCATCTCTATGGTCTTTTAGATTTATTTTTATTTTTTTGGTCTGAAGCTTTAATGAAAATTTAGTTTCATATTCTTTGTTTTTTGTTGAGATACAAATCTGATTAATTGATGTGATTTTGTGTTTGTAGATATTGGATTGACACAGCAGATAAACAACCTTGCATTGGCACTGGTGGTATGATTCCTTGGAAACTTCATGTCAGTGGGAAACTTTTTCATAGTGGTTTACCGCATAAGGTATACCATTACAATCTCTACTGTCTTAGATCAGTAATTCAACATGTGAACTTTTTCATGCATTTATTTATACGGGAAAACTATTGTCACTTTTCTGGTATTAAATATATGAAACCTAAAATTTTATGATGGTTTTCTGGTTCTACTTTTCAATGATGAATAGTATAACATGATAAGCAAACCAATGTGTAAATTGCAAAGAAGTCAAAAACTAATGAATTATATTAGTGCATAACATTTTGGCCTTTTCTAGTAGAATAATAAGAAGAAAAATCTGCTGACTTTAGACTGGCTTGCACTATGAAGATGATAAAATACATGAAGCAGAAATTTATGTTGTAAAAGTGGTTTGTGTGATTAGAAACTTGAAAAAGTGATGGAGTACTTTTTTTTCCTCGTTATGCAAATAATGGTAAATTAACAAAAAATGAATTAACATAAAACTCAATTCCACACAGCATTCCTGTCCTGGTTTGGTGAGGTCAGCTTATACCTTTCCTCTTTGCGCTTTCATCTCTCTTTTTTGGACCAAAATATCTCTGAGTTGCTTTGATTTTAAATCACTTTTACCACTTCATCCCACATGATTTTAGTCAGAGTCTCCACTTCTCTACCCCTACTATTTTATTCTAATCATTCTGTATCTGTGAATCCATAGGCCTATCTTGGAAAAGCAAGGTGTAAATGACAATGACCACAATTTGGATTGTTATAGCTGAAATATTACAAATTTCGAAAGTAGCTTACATGACATGGGTTCTTACCTTTTCCAAAGCAATTATTATTTTCCCTTTCCTTTTATAGTGTGGCCTGTATGCACATCTATGCAAGCAAATATTTATTTGTATAGTACTGGCATGTATGTGTAACATAGCTCTACCCCCTTTTCAATTCAACCTTATATTATGCATGCATGAATAGAAGTAGAAAGGAAGGTAGCCAGGTTAAAAAATTTTGGATAAAAATGAAGAACAGGCATGAAAAACCTACTTCTGGCTCACTACACTTTAGTTGCCCAGTTTTGAGAGTATGCTAAATAGACAATTTTATGGCTGGTTGACAGTATTTTAAAGCTGTAGATGGTGCAAGACACATCAAGCTTTGTTTTATATAGATGATTGCTCGTAAAAATTAGTCTTATGAAAGACTTTCTAGTTTCATATGTTCAAATTGGGCTGCATATTCCATTCTAGCTTCTGAATGATGTGTTTCATGGAATAGATGGAGTCACTTCTCCAGTTTCTTCTTATTTATTAATTTCAAAGTTTGTATTATCTGCAGGCTATAAATCCTCTGGAGCTGGGCATGGAGGCTCTTAAAGAGATACAGTCACGATTTTACAGGGACTTTCCACCTCATAAGGAAGAGCAAGTATATGGATTTGCAACACCATCAACTATGAAGCCAACTCAATGGAGTTGTAAGTTTTGCAGCCATAAGTAATGATATATTGTGGAAAGCAAATGCTTTAATTTCTGAAACCCATCTTCATTGTCTCAGATCCAGGAGGTGGGATCAATCAAATTCCTGCTGACTGTACAATATCTGGAGATGTCAGGTTTATAATCTTGTAAAGAAGTTCTTAACACAGCAACTGACATGATAATGAAGTCTCACCATCAGTTTCAACTGATATGAAAATGAAGTCTCACCATCAGTTCCTTTTCTTCTGTTTCAGGTTAACTCCCTTCTACAGGTTAGCAGTCTGCCTCATGTTAATAACAGAATCTTAGCGCTTATTAAGCGTGTCTTTCAAATTATGATTTGGGTCTATTTTGTTCTGGACTGTATAGACATTTGTTTTTCTCAATAATTTTTCAGGTTTCTGATTTCCAATATTTTACTCTTTACTGTAGTGTCGAAGATGTGATGAGCAAACTACAAAAGCATGTGGATGATATAAATGAGAACATTGAGAAGCTTGGCACAAGGGGCCCAGTTTCAAAATATGTACTACCAGAAGAAAACCTAAGGGGGAGGTGTGTCTTCTTGCATGCTCTGTCACCTTGGATCTCCCCTATTTCAGGGATGCAATTATATGAGTTCTAAAAAATTACTTTTTGTGTGTTATTCTCACTCATCATTACAACCTTTTTCCCAAAAGTAGTTATATATGGGTTTGTTTTCCAACAGTCTTGCCGTGACCTTTGATGAGGCATCTTCAGGAGTTGCCTGTAATCTAAAATCACGTGGCTTTGAAGTGTTGTGTAAAGCAACTGAAAAGATAGTTGGGCATGTAAAACCGTATTCAATTACAGGGACTCTGCCACTAATTCGAGAGCTGAAAGTAAGATATATCTTCTTTTCTTCCATTTTCATAATGTTTTTCTAAGTTCTCATCCTTTATTTAATGTTTTTGGATTTTGTAGGATGAAGGTTTCGATGTTCAAACAGCAGGCTATGGTATGATGCTGTTGCTTATTTTTGGGATTTTGCTATTTATTTTTAATCTCAGTAGAAAGTCAAGCCTTATAGATGCTAGTGTATGTCGCATGGGTCATCTCGTTTAGTAAATATGTAAAAATAGAAGAAGAAAAATGAGTTGTAACCTAGTTTTATTGTAATTAGAAACCGTAACTAATTTTTAGAGTTTCTAGGTAAGGGGTTAGTTATGCTAAAGAAAAGATTAAAATTATCCTTCCTAGGGTAAACTGATTTGTTATTTGTTTTTAATGATGAAGGATGCCCTTTGTGCTTAGATGCAAAAATTGTTGTCTAAACTGAATGCTTGTGTTGTTTATGAGGCAAAAGTATACTAGGACTTAGAATAGTAATTCAGGATCCAGACCCAACAACAAGGTCTAATACTCACATCTCATCAAGAAAGAACATCCCTACACCAAAAAATATAATCACATATACATCCCTACACCAAAAAATATAATCACACATACAAATTATTATTTTTTTATTTTTTTAAAAAGACAAATAATGAGGAGTCGCATATTAATAACTTCTATTATTCGCTTGTCAACATCTTTGAACAAAGATCAAATGATTCAATTATCCTAGATTGACTTTATAAATAATAAAATTATTATTACGCAACAAAATTGTGAAAAACCAAAGAAAATGAGAGGTTATATTTGTTTTGTTTGAAAATAATTTTGAATATGGTAAAAATCAAATTATGCAGCAAACAAATTTTCATCCACTTGTCTAAAATCCATGGACAACACCTAGTGATGTTTCATTTAACTCGGGTTGACTTTATGAATATTAGAAACCAATGTTATTCAACAAACTCACATTAATCAACAAACTCACATTAAACAAAGAGACGCCAATGAAAATCATTTTTTTTAAAAAAAAAAAAACTTTAATATGGCACAATCAAATACTCATCAAACAATTTTTAATCAACATGTTAATGATCTTGAACAACGTCCAATAATGGTCCATTTATCATAGGTTACCTTTATGGATTAGCCTTTTTTGATTTGTTGAAGTTAGTTGTTGAAGTCGGTTGGAACTGGACTAGAAAGGCTAGAACGAGTGCTGGAAAAAAGGGGCTGGTGCATGTACAGTATGCGTGGATCAACAGTTTAGCTTTCAAGGCTTTGTTTCACACATCGTCGGGGCAGGGAGGCATGCTAACATGTCTAAATGTTGCTCCTCTTCTTTTTCCTTCCTACTCCGATGATTTAAAGCTGCTGAAACAAATTGGATTGCTTCTTTTTTTTTCTCTCTTGTGCTAGGTGTTTTTTGCTAGTTTTTTTTTACTAGAGTATCTCCTTCTTTTTTCTTCTTTTTTTTTATCTTTGTGTGTGCCTTTTTTGTTTGAATGTCTCCTATTTGTATTGTTTAAGATCCCCTGCAAAATAGAAAAAATTAAACTGAAAAAATAATGTTAGGCAATGATATTGTTTTTTTCTTGACTATGGATTTCTAATTAATTAAATTCTTATCTTAATGTGTAGGATTTTTTTCAATAATTTTTTAATTTTATTTAATCCTCCTATTTATTTTTCTTTTTTTCTTTTGCATAAACTCCTATGTTATTATTTTAGTTTCCATTCTTCCTGGTCCCTTGTTCTCCATCTCTCTCTATTTTAATCCCTGACCTCTTTTTATTCATGAAAACTCAGAAAATAACAAAAATTGATTGAGCTTTATTAAAAACATTTTTTTTTTTTTTGAAAAAAGGAAGCATGTGGTGAATTCAGAAAGAATGATAGAAATGCACAAAGATGGATGTCCATCAACTCATTTTTGTGTCTTGTGGTAGTCACTAGGAAAATATACAGTGGGTATCCATTAGCTAAGTACATATTATCATGTATTAGTAGCTGATTAGCTGAAAGGCTAAAAGGTGCATTTTGGTAACATCTTAAATTTTACATCTTGGATTTGTTTTTTTTTTTTTTCATGTATGGAGCTGAAAGTAGCTTATACTGAGAGTTTACTTGGTGCTGCTTTGAAGTTGTGCTTGGTGTTGCTTAGGGAAACAAGAAAAAAAAAAAAGATCAACTCACTGTATAGGCTAGGGATTAAGCAACGATGGAAACTAAGATCTACTACAATCATTTTCTACTTTTCATACTTGCACTTCTTTTTATCTGATGATTTAGCCTTCACGTGAGCATTTATTGAAGTCCAGAGAAAGCTTGTCACCATACCTTGAGAAAGGTCAAGTATCCAACATAAGGTGAAAATATCCCTTGGACAACAATGGGGGGGTTCTAGATTATTGGGTTTCCTTTTGCGTGGTTGCTCAAAAAATTAAAATTTATCACTATGGGCATTACCAGAAAGATGATGCTGAAAGGGCTATCTGCCACATGGACCTTAAATAGAGGATTGAAGCAAAAGAGCTCTTACCCTCATTAATGTCCCCAGGAGTTCCATACATTACCTGTGGAGACAAAATATACTTGTAGTCTCATTTTCCAAAACCTCCATTTAATTGTGGAGTTCCGTTTTGAAGATTCATTTATACCACTATTTACCATTTGGTCCTCTGCATCAGAACTGTATTAGGACCAACTTAATTTTTCTTTGCAACCCAGCTGGGTAGTTGTTTCAAGTGCTAGTGTCCAAGACTAGATTTTTAACTTCTGGTGGCTCTTAGATGTTACCAAACAAGCAAAACAAGGAACTTGAATCTGGGTTGATCAGGGGGAAAAGCAACTGAATAGATGAATGGAGTTGATGAATGACGCTGTTGGAAATTTGCCTGAAGTTGCTTCTAAATTAACATATTCATTTCATTGTCTTTTTAGTTTGCCAGTTCATTTATTTGCAGAAAGGCACAGGCTATGTGCATAGTTTTATCAAGCTGCAGAGATGCTGATGTGATTTAATGTGGGTGACCAATGGCTTGACCTATTGTGATTGAAAATTCATGTCTGCATTAATATTCATACTTCATCACATTTTCTCTCATTTATAATTTCTACATGAAAAGATTAGCCTTTAGTGTTTGGTTTGTGATATCTTGTGTTTAACTGTTTTTTCATTCTCATGCTCTATTATTGTTTTACAGCTTGTTTTTTGCATCCCTGTGCAGGTTTAATGGCCACATACCATGCCAAGAATGAGTACTGCCTGCTTTCTGATATGTGCCAAGGCTACCAGATTTTTACCAGCATCATCTCTCAATTAGAAAATTGATTCGCAGCGAAGTGGATGACATAACAACAACACCACCAGATACCAGATGAGTAGCTTGTTACGTTATAGAAATAAATGATTGTCATGTAAACTCTGTTAATTTGAAGTTTTGAAGGGCATCTAATATGCTTTTTCAGCAAGAGTTGCCTGCTGCTTGGAATATGATGTTTCTGTTCCTCATCTGGATATTATTCCATTTATAGTTTTTCCTTTCCTCTTAGTAGATTTGGCGCTTGGACAGTCATTTGATGATTCTCATAAACAACTTTCCTTGCATTCAGCTCCCCTGGCAGGCTGCTTTCACTTGGTTCTTAAATAAAAAGGATGGAAAAGACTTGAGCCTAAACATTTATAGCTATTTAATTACCTGTGCTACGCTACTTGTGGGATTCCAAGATATTTTTTAACACAATAGAATGAGGAATGTGTTGGTATTGGGAATGTATTTTCCTGCATCACGAAAATGACTGGGTGTTTTTTGGATTTTTATATGTAATTATATGACAATAAAAATAGATTTTCATTATAAAAAAAATATAATTGTTAGTATAAATTCGTTTTCTTACCAATATTTTTTTTAAAAAAATTATATTTATTTTTCTTTAGCTGAGTTTTTATTGCATAAAAACTGTAAGATTTTTTTAACAATTTAAAATGAGTCTAAAAACAGTATTTCTTTAATTAAAACTTGTTAAAATTTTAATAAAATAAAACAATAAATAATGAGTTGATAATTTTAATGCAAGTTTATTAAAAGGATATAACAAAGCTAACATTGAGAAAATTTATATAATTTAATTTACAATAATTTTTTTTTAAATAAATATTTTATATGCGTTGAAAAAATGTTGTATATTAGGTACACCTATAAATTGCTAATGTTATAAGACACTAATATTATTTAAAAATAACAGTATAATTAGATAATAATTTAAACATTATTTAAATAATTTCATTTAGAAAGAATTAAATTAAAAATTTTATGAAAAGAGGTAAAAAAAAAAAAAGAGAGAAAAAATTGAAGGGTAAAGCAACCATGGGATAGAAAGTAAAAAACCCAAGGTAAGATGTCATTTATTGTTTTTATTTATAGTTGTTTAATCCTAAAACTCTAATATCTATTAAAGAATCATCTCATTTAAAATTTTAAATTTTTAGATGAGGTTTTAAAATATGATTTATATTATTCTCTAACACAGTCTCTCAAGTAAAAATTCTTTAGACTTGAAACTTGCACATATGGTTTATATTATTTTCTAACACACCTCCTCAAGTGAAAGCTCATATTACCTTATACTTAATTTTTATCAAATAAATAGGGATGATGAGATTCGAACTCATGACCGCTTGATTGATTATTAAGGCTCTAATACCATATCATAGAACCATCTCACCTAAAAGCTTAAGCTCTTAAGTGAAGGCTTCAAAATATGATTTATATTATTCTCTAACAATATCAACTATATTTTTTTATCAAAAAAACATGAGCTTCTAACACCTAGATATATTATATTTGGTCTAAAAAGTTAAAATAAAATCAAATAAAAAAGATTTTTAAGTTTTGATATATTTTTTCTAGTATCATTAAATATAAAAACCACCTTGATTGAAATTATAAAAATCAAAATCAAATTATTAGTGTCCAAAATCTAATCACCTGAAAGATTTCGCAACTTTCTCTCCTCGTATCGAATTCTAGAGAATAAATCATAGAACAAATGAATTTTGAGACTAGGAACAAAATATTTGAAGGAAAATTTTGAAAGAAGTTAAAATACATCATATACAATTCAGACATAAATGTTGCACCTGCAAATCCCTCTCATCCCAAGCAGGCAAACCTGAAAAAAAATATAATATAAAATAAACTAAACTAAAAATAAATATATATTAAGTTATACATGACGAGATTACAATACCTTCTATATATATATATAATGGTGTGTTTTCTTTAAGACTATCTTAATTTAATTTGATAAATGTAAAATGTTTTATTTTTTTATTTATAGATTTTATTTAATTACAGTTGATCGTGAAAAACGTTATATGAATTCCCTAATAAGAGTTAATCCTACCCATCGCATTCCGACTCTGCTACGTGATGTCCAAATAACAGAAGCCAGGGTAGAGAAAACCATGGCGTAGAAAAGAATCATGCCTCGAAGCATTTCATGTTAAAAAAAAAAATTAAATAAATATATAACACAGGCAAATACTATCAACTTGCGCTAGAATCTCGCCATCTCCAATCAGTACCATGCTTTGTATTCTAACTGTGACTTTCTTCCGTTTATTCACTGTTAATAACACAATGCGCTTTCTATTGTATACAGCATCTCTAGTCGTACTATCCATACCTAATAATCGCCTCTATGTATTCTACAACTTTCCTCCCCCACCATTTATCGTTCCTTCCCAAGCATTTTTATCTGGGTTTTCATAAGCAGCTACTTCATCTTTTATTTGAATTCATTTCTTCTGATTTAAGAAGCTGGATTCTCCGGCGTAGTCTTCTCCGGTGCTCATGTATTTTCCAAAGGCCATGCCCCAATACGACAGCCGAGTATATGCCATGTGTAATGATGGGGGCTAGAATATTATTTGTCTGCCAAACAATGCAAAAGATTGTACATGCAAATCTATCAGTTCGAGCCTCTGAAACAAATTGGTAGTATAACATCAAGTACCTAGTTCAAGACTTCACCTGGATCCATTCAAAACCTAGATAGAGCGCCAAAAGTCCTTCCAGGAGGGGAGAGTAGATCTTTTTCATTTGCCTCCTCTCATACCAGGCTGCGGTGCAAATGACAGAGCATAAGCTAATGCATGTTTGGTTTGACCAACCAGTAAGACCAAAAATATGCAGACTACTTAGCATTTCTTCCGAGCAACATGTAAAGTCATTATGCTCTTCTAAGCTGTCAGGAAGATGCAGGACTAGAATAGTCACCAGTTATTTGCGAAAGATTCCTCATGACCTCACCCGCCCAAACAAGGATTTAAAACTTATATTCGCAATATGCATGTTTCGATGTATCAAAATGAGCAGTGACAGTCAGTAATTGAAGGTTTCCATGGGACGAGATTATCAAAACTTAGTTGGCAAAGGACACCAAACAGATTGACTTTCACTCGTGTTAACGGACTTGTCACTGCAAAAGACTTTCTAATAATTTATTTTTTCTTTTTTTTTTCAAAAATGAAAGGAATAGCAGAAATAAAGTGATTTCCCCGCTGACCAAATGTACTAGGATTTCAAAAGCCATAATTCCAAAGAAATAGTACTGAACTAAGCTTCTACGCCAAGTCAAGAGGTGAAACCTGCAAATAGCTTTTTCAGATCTTCACGCCCAGAGTAAGATGGCAGAACTGGTGCAACTACATAAGTAGGATCTGTAAGAAACAGAACAGACCCATGAATCAATCTGCAATTTAAAGATGAAAAAAAATACTCCTTTGAGAAGATTAAGAGTATCAACCTTTTGGGGAGGTAGCCACATAATAGAGGGATCCAGTAAGAACGGCTGTTAAAACAGCTGCAAATGCCTGGGCAAATGGGACAAAAGGAGGCAGCACACCAGTCTACAAATGTAGAAACATAAAAATTTCAGTTGCAAGGCAAATTTCATTACCAAGGACAGGGAATAAGTTCAACCACATACCAGCGATGCCATTCCTCGAGCATCTTCCACCAAATTGGTTCCCCTTAGAAATATATCAGCCAGTGCTCCCTGTGAAGTAATTAAGAAAAGATGAAAAAAGTACGAATAATTAAGTATTTCCAGTAGAGAAGTTTTCTTGTTATTATTGTTATTTAAATCCACCTACAGGGGATTTGGGGATTTTACTTTCAATTATACCTGGATAAAGGAAGTGACTTAAACCCACAGGGGATTTGGGGATTTTCTTTAATTCACTATTCAGCATGAGTAGAAGAATATACCTGAACGGCAGCTCGATAGAAAAGCTCCTCTCCCACGGAACTTGCAGCAACAATTAAAATAAACTGCAAATAGGGTCCAAAATTGAATCAAATTCATCTTACCTCATAGAGAGAGTGGTAAAAATATATCTAATAATTGTCAATATTTTATAATAATTATCAATATTTTATAATACCTGTTTGTTTTATGAAAAATAATTTTTAAAATTTTTTTGTATTTATTTATTATTAAAAAAATTAACTAATGAAATTTAATTTAATTTCTAGAAAAACATTTTTACTTTCATTATTTAATTTAATTTCTAGAAAAACATTTTACTTTCATTTTAAAAATAAAATAATTTTTTAAAATTATAAAAAATTAAAAAATACCTTATTTTTTTCTTAATGGTATCACATATGGCTTTTAATTTTATAATAGTTATATATTTTGTTTTGAATTATTTTTTTTAATTTTCTTAATGGTATCACATATGGCTTTTAATCTTATAATAGTTATATATTTTATTTTGAATTATTTTTTTTAATTTAATCTTTTAAAATTTTATTTTTATATTAATTTTAATCCTCATTATTTTGATTTTTATTTTTTTCTCTTATTATTTTTTTAATTAAAATTTATTTATTTATCAAATTTGATCTCATTCTATTTATTTTATTTGAAATGATTTATATAATTGAATTTTTTTTAACTTCATCCTTTTTTAACTTTTTTATCTATTAAATTTAATCTTTATTATTTTAATTGTTATTTATTTTATTTAAAATAATTTATAAAATTAAATTATTTTTTTTTAATTTCATTCCTCTTCAGCTTTTTTATCTATTAAATTTAATCATTATTCTTTTAATAAATTTTTTAAAAAAATAAAATACTAATATATTATTTTTCAGTTTATTTTTAATAATAAAAAATATTTTTTAATTTATTTTACATAATACTACTTTATTTAAAAAAAATAATTACCTTTTCAAAAAAATTCTATAAAAATTATTTTTTCAAAAAAATACCTTTCCAGAAAAGAAACGGTAAAAGGTTTACCTGCCAAGGTGACATCCCATAAAAGAAATTCCGCAGTTCCTCGTCCTCCACATCTCTAATGGCACGAGCATGAGGCGACAACTTCACGACTTCATCCTGCAACCATTTCAAAAAATAAAGAAACAACATTCGAAAACTACAAAAGGGTTCATTACTTAACTAAAACCAACTAATAACAGGATTCCACTTGTCAATTTTCTGCCCGTCAAATAAAAATATTCAAAAATTTATTCAATTACCAGCTCAAGTTCAGCAAAATAGTATATTTCTTTTTGAATGAAGGAATTAATTGGAG